GACATCAGGGTGGGGGTATGACAGAGAGAGGAGTTTTGATGGTGACCGTGAGGGGCCACCCCACCTGGTCTTGTACTCCTGGGGGACTGTGAGGGGTGGGCAGAGTAATGATGGGGGGAGGGGACAGGGTGATAGACTATTGAGCGTAGGGTGCCTTGGGTGAAAGTGCAGATCCCAGAGCCAGTTGGGATTAAGCAGGATACAGCGTGGATCCGAGTGGCACCTCTCTCCACTCCAGGCTTCTCTGCCCTCTTGGCTTCCTCTTTCCGACCATAACTGTCTGTTCAGCAGAAAGACGCTGAACAAGGAAGCAGTGCTGTGGGCAGAGAGAAGGCTGAAGGGTGACTGTGGACGAGTTGATCTTCTCTCTAGACAGGGGCTGCAGCATCCAGCTGGGACCCAGGCTGTTCTACGTGGCCCCAGCCTTAAGGAGATGACCCAGTGGGACGGGGCTACGTGGCTGCCTTCAGCTCTGCTGCTCCTCTGGCTCCCAGGTGAGGGCACCTTGAACTCAGGCTCTGCCACAGGACGGTGAGAGGCAGGGAGGGTGCGTGAGGGGGAGAAGGACAAAGGCGGCGTGTAGGGCCCTGGAGTCTGGCTTCTGACAGAGCTGTGTCACCAAACGATTGACTCCTGGCCTGGGAAGGAGAGGACCTACCCCTCCTCCGCGCCCCATAAGCTTGGATGGTCCATTTATGGTGTGGGGCACAGGGTGGGCATGGAGGAGGGAGCTTGTAGAAGAGTCTCAGAAGGATCAAGGGAAGAAATGTCAGAAGTTAATTGTCTTCTGTGTGGTGGGACAGTGGACGCAGTGGTGGGAGTCTGAGGGGCATGATTTATGGGGGATGCACCGTCCTCATATTTCCCCTGGGGAGGGGCAGCTCATGGTGTCAGGGACCTGGGGGTGCAGCTGGGACAGCACGAGGGCTGACTGGAGCCTGAGGAGAGAGGATGGCTGGCAGAGGTGTGGCTAGTGACAGTCCCATGCTGGCCTGAGGACCAGCGGTCAGTTATCCTCAGGGAGGAGAGAGACGGCTGACAGGAGAAGGAGGGGGAGCAGGCGGGAAGGAAAGAGAAGCGAAACTGTGGGGAGAAGCCAGGGGCAACAGTGAGAACCCACAGGGTCGAGTTTCATTCCCAGGCACTCAGCTTTCTCACAAGGTCCTCTGTGCTAGGATGTTGAAATTCTTTTTGACTATTTTTCTTATATGTTTCTATTTTAATTGCTAACTAATTGTCTGCTTGTGGAAATAATATGGAAAACCCCCTTCTGTGCAGTTTACTGCCTCTGAAGACACGCTGAAGGGTCATTTATGGGCTGGTTTTGACTTGATGTGCTTAGCAACACTTGTCTGTGGGAAATCTAGCTATTTTTGTGTGTTAACGTGAAAAGTGGTTCATGCTTCTGCTGTCAATTCCTCCATGGGTCCCTTGGGCTTTCAAATACTCGGCATTCACATAGAATTTGCTAGTCCGCTCACATTTATTGTTTATATTATCTTCTCTCCCTGAGAAAGAAGTCCTCAGAATTAACGCCTAATGACAATAGTGACACTACACTCACCCATGTCCCCTACTCAGGTGAGAGCGCCTAGTGCCCTCCAAGGAAGATGTCCATTTACATTGATTTGTGAAGGATTTTGTTTTTAAGCACTATTGACAGATGTTGAGTGTCTTCCTGGGACCTGTGGAGAGAATGATTTCCTCTCACCTCTTCTATGACCTTTCTCTCTCTCTCTCTCTCTCTCTCTCTCTCTCTCTCTCTCTCTCTCTCTCTCTC